ATAATAATACAGGGTTTATACATGTATGTGTGTGTGTACTGTTTTTTCACGTGTAGATGCACACAACCCAACCACACAAAATCAAATTACATTCACATAAAAGCACACACTAGCGTTCACAAACCATGGCGAGTGTCGCAATGCTAAACCAAACCCTCAGAAGATGGGCACTTCTGAGGTTTGCACTCTTTAAAAAGACATGACCGAGCACCACCATAATTACATGGGCCATAATTTATATGGCCCAGAACATGTAGAGGCAAAAACCAAAGCAGAAGAAAACTCTTTTTGTTTTAAATTTTATTTTAGTGCTAATTTCGTATTTTAAAGTCATTTAATTAACTATACCAGTTATTATTGCCTGTAGATTCAAAAACAGGAAGGTGTAAAGTGAAACATCCACCTCTATGACTCAAAACTAATGTATGTCTGGACTATTTTCTCCTGTTATGAATGCTTCTTCTGAACAGGAATTGGACAATTATTTCATTGGAATGTTAAGTTAACACTGCAGCATGACTGCTTACATCCTTATCTCACCAGAAATGCTTCCTAGCTTACCTTTTCCTCTTACTCACTTCTTCCTCTACTCCTCCTCTTCCCCTCTGCCTCTCCAGTGTGGTCAGAGATGTCCACCCACAAATATCAAAACCGATGCGCTAATTATATCTGCCCACTATGAGTGAGTCATTTAACCTGTTCATAACTGCAGAATCATTGTTCCAGAGCCACTTCAGGAATCATAAATACTTGACATTAGATTCAAAAGATAGTCTTGAGATGAAATGTTCAACCCTAAAACCAAAGTGTAGGTTTAGACAGTATGATTTGAATCTTAGAAAAAGATAATTATTTTCAGTTTATTTGCTTCCTAGTCTAGCTTTAAAACTGACATTTTACTCTATGGATATTGTTGACACTGAGCATTTTGTTTATTTCACCCTCTTGTAAGTTGAATTGGATAAAAGTGTCTGCTAAATGCGTAAATATAAATATTCACCTTATAATCCCTCAACCAAACCCAATGCAAAATTTACTGTAAAATAGAAGGGCTTATTTGTTAGTTCTCCATCGAAACACCATGAACTTCAAGTCCATTTTACTATTAAGAAATGTGAGCAATTCTCAATCTAAACACACTCAGGGCATGAGAAACTCATATATTAAATGAGATTACAGAGGTTGGTCTGAGATTTTAACCCGTTTAATCCCGCCGGTCACTTTTCTTATTTCTGGAAGCTCTAAAAATGTTGTAATTGACTTTTGTAATTGGGCAAGAAATTCAACTTTTAAATGACAAAATAGATTCTCTTGATTAAAATCTATTAATGTCATGTGACTAGTGTGAAAGGTCACATGACCAGATCAGTTTACTTTCTGCTTGCATATCTAGAAGAAGATGTCTTCCTCAGTAAAACATCTCCATTAACAGATAGAACTTTTATATTATGTACAAATTCTTGAAAGGGTCTACTACTGATATATTTTGAGAATTATACTCCTGCATATATATTTTGCTCGTAAGACTTGTAAATTTGTCAACGGTCACAATTGGTATATCTAACACAGTGCAATTGAAAACACATATATTGGCTGGTATTGGCAATCTAACACTGAACATATGTCACACCTGTGAGGGGGGTGGATGATCTTGGCAAAGGAGAAGTGCTCACTAACACAGATTTAGACAGATTTGTGAACAATATTTGAGAAAAAATAGGCCTTTTGTTTACATAGAAAAGGTCTTAAATCTTTGAGTTCAGCTCATGAAAAATGGGGGCAAAAACAAAAGTGTTGCGTTTATAGTTTTGTTCAGTGTAGTTATCAGTATCCCAGAAACTTTCATTGTGTTGGACCTTATAGGCGTACGTGGCTTTGAGATAAATTACAAGGATGTTTTTCAGTTTTTGTTTCTCCCTAAGGGACAGATGAGGTTACCCTCTTAATTTCAGACATAGCCAAACATGACATCATGACCAGGATTTATCTTCCTTGTTTCTCCAAAAACACACAGCATAAACAAGCATGGACACTATTCTTCCATTACAGGGATAAAAGGAAAACTGGATACTCTAAAAATCTCATAATCTTTTGCTTATTGCACTTGGGACTGTGACCCAGTTTAGTTAATTGCTCTCTGAAATTTCTGTCACAATGATTGTTAGGCCGAAAGACTGATAGGAAGAACGTTGAAATTGCTTTTAGCTTCAGCTGTGCTGCAGGCATATCAATCACATCTTCATGAATGATTGGCCAGTAGATTACAGGACAGAGATGAGCTGCGTTACTCCTGTCAGTACAACAAAGCATGCGGTATGTCATCCATACAGAGGAAATGCTGAACAAATGTGTATGTGTGTAAAGAAACAGCCTAGCCAATCGTCACAAGCACACATGCGGATACTCGATCTCCACGAGCACGTATGCTTATATACACGCCACGGCTCTCATAAAATGGGGGGTCCCCTCCTCTGCTGGCTAAATTGATTGCAGATTTCCATGAGTGCAGAGCTGGCTTGTGTATGTGTATGTGTGTGTGAGGCCCTCAGGAGTCTGGGCGTACTGTCAGAACACATGTGAGAGAGAGCGAAAGAAGGAGAAAAAGAGTGCCGCGGTCCCAATAGGACCCAAAGGAACATCACTCCAGGCTGGAGACCCAGAATCACAGCTGTGGAGTCACAGCTCAGTGAGGGACATTTTCCTGAAACAACTTCTGTCAACGTAACAACTGTGGAATTGTGCAGTGAAATAATAAGAAATAGGACCTCAAATCTAAACTTTTAAAGTGACATCAAACATCAAAACGTGAAATTTACAATAGAAAACATGAATACCGATGATGCTTCAGAAAGAGTTCCCAAAAATGACTCATTCTTGGTAATTATTTTATAGAGATTTTTTGTTATAACTATTATTTTAAGATTGAACTCATCTCTATAATTTCATGAACCCTTTAAAATTCCACGATATTTCCAGGTTTTTCACGAGTGTGGGAAGACCTATTTTGAAAATATTAAATTTTGATGTCAAATAAAATGTAAAAATATTTTCCAAATCTGGATATTTAAACTGAAATAAATAAATCTTGATATTATTTGTTTACAATATAGGTGGATACAAAAAAACCCAGTATGGTCCCATCTAACTACTGAGAAAAAAAATCCTCCTATTTCAATTTTAGTTTACTTCGGAGGAAACACTTTAGAATTACTATTTGCACACCCGCTGTTGTACGCACACCGTCCTCAGTCACAAAAATTGGGCTGTACGCATACGAGGTGCACGAATGTCCATGGACCCTCCTGATGACGGAAATTACGTCACACGGACAGGGCACGAATGCAGACAGTGTGCGGATGGCTAAATTAGCCTATGCTTTGGGCTTTATAGTCCTCTGAGAGGTATATATAGAGGTTTTTAGTTATTGATTAGCTAATAGTGAACTGCCACATTTCTACTAAGCACTATTACTTACTAATTCGTTTATCAGAGTTTCTTGTTAGTTAAAGGTTTCCTATTATGTGTTTTTACTTTTTCAACTTCAGTTAGTGGCTGAAGTTTGTTTGGCTGACAAACTTATAGTGGTAAAAAACGTTTATCTGTGCTGCACATTTTATGGTGAGAAGCTAAGAGAGTACAATGCAGGCTACACACAAAGACTTCTCCTGAAAACGAGCAGTTCTGCACTGTGGTTTGTGGATCACAACCTGTAAGCATGTCTTAGTATTTGTAGTTGCATTTTCTATTAACAGTTCCAATTGAATTATAAGTTTTACTCCCATGCAAACAAAGGGCAAGGCTTTGCCTCCGCTTGCCTGCTAGCCAACATTAGTGTTGAGATAGTGTTTACTGTAGCTTTTGGCTTTTGTAAGGCTGTTCATCGCCCCTCAGGAAAATTAAACTTGGTTTTGAGATCGATTACTGTTTCTATTACCATAGTTTTCCGACAAGTGTCATGATTAAATAGTGTATAACATCGTATCTAAAATGTACTGTATAAGAAAAAAAACACCACTCTGAAACATACTGTGAAATCTGTGGCTGCAAAGTCTATGCATGAATTATCTTCTGCATGATCCTCTTGTGCCATTCTTAATTTACACCTGAGAGGATGAAACAACACACTGGGCTAGCTAACCAATCACATTTCATATTTTGGAGGGAGGGGCTTCATTGAAACAGGAACTGTTCAGCGCGTTCGAGCCAGACTGGACAGAGAGGTGCTGTAATAGGCCTATGTCATGAAAAAATTGAAGACCGGAAATACGTCTTTTAGTGGGGATACGGCTAATCCGGTTAGCTTTTTACAATGGTGGAGTCCGACATAAACCGCTGGACCAAATATATTGTTATACTGTAAAATAATTCAAGTTGCTGCCTTAAATGTTTAAGTATAATTAAATTAGCTGTACGAGTAATTTCAACTTAAATGATATTAAACTGACTTTAAAAGTTTAACTGAATATTGTATAACTTATAAACAAGTTGAAATTGCTTTAATTATGAGTTCATGCACTATGTTTTGAGGATCACCATTTCGTTTGCCTTGGTTTGGTTAATGAACTGCCACAAGAGTGAAGTGAGATAACAGACTCCAACCTCCCCTGCATCTGGTCTGAATCAACACGCTGTTGGCTGGCAAATTTATTTGCAAACACTAATATGGACTCAAGCTCATTCTACGCGGTTAAGGAACTTTTCATATGTGAGCTTTTTCCCCTTCTCTGTATTGTTTTATTGTACGGGTCTGGGCAGTACTGCATGTCCTGGGTATAGTAAAGCTGTCCCACACAGGAATTTACCTTAAGAGGCCCATTTATTTATGAGACAGAATAGCAAACATTTGGATCAGAATGAGGTGACCGCTATATGCCTGAGCAGACAGATGGACAAACTGCAGCAGGTTGTCCTGATGATAAAGCTATCATGATGCTGTGATGAATGAAATCACGTCCTTATTTTTACATTTATATTTATTATTTAATTTATTGCATTTTCAGAGATTTGGACCAGACCTGGGTCCACTTAATCGAGAGTGACATACAACGCCAAGCCTCCCCTAAGTGCAAAGAGGAGTGCAGCAAAAAGCATTAGGACAGAATCCAGGTGTGCGATGAAACCAAAGCCCTTGTATTTTTCCAACGAAATATCTTTGCAAAGCAATGCTAAAATATTTTTCTGTTTGCCAGCTTAAAGATCTGCTGTTTCTCTCTTAGTTTTTGACAGAATGCAAGGGGATAATGCTGGAATAATGTTTGAATGAGGGAATTCAAGGATTTTGTACCACGCAATATCACTGCATCACCCATTGCCATCACTCATCTCCCAAGAGGAAGTCCACTCGCTGCCAGCACATTCCTCCTAAAGCTTTCTGATTTACTCAACTGCCCATCGCTGCAGAGCGAGGAGGAAGCCTGCTCCTTATTAAAACCATCCTTTTATCGCCTTTTTTACAGCTGAAAAAAATAACCAGATGTTTCTGAATCTGAGCATTTGAGAGCGAAAAGGTTTTCACCAGAGGAAAAGAAACGCATCACTCTCTGTCTGCTCCTAAAATGACACCATGGAAATGCTTTTAGATTCGTCTCCTCCTCTCACTCCCATCACAACGAAGATAATATTTTTAACCCCAATCCAGAGGTTTCTCAAATGTTAAATAGTCCCTTGCCATATTGGCCAAATGCATTTTCAAAACTGAATGGCATGTCAACTTTAAAGGTGCACTTAGTAATGCAGGCCTATTAAAAAAGTCAGACATACAGTAGAGATTAAAATATTGTGAAATATTATATAAATATTCTGCTTTTTATTATTAGTTAATATATTTTAAAATCTAATTTGTTCCTCTGATGGCAAAGCTGAATTTTCAGCATCATTACTCCAGTCTTCAGTCACATGATCCTTCAGAAATCATTGTGTTTTGTGACTTTACTATTACTATTACTACTTTACTAATGTTAAAAACAATTATGCTACTCAATATTTTTGTGAAAACAAAGCAATTTAACATTTTTTAAAGGATTTTTTGATTAATTGAAAGTTCAAAAGAGCAGCATTTATTTGAAACGGAAATCTTTAATTGGATCTTTAAAACATTGAAACGTCTTTACTATTGATAAGTTCAATGCGTCCTTGCAGAATAACACTAATAATAATGAGTAGGTAGTGTATGTATTTGACAACAAGGCAGAAATAACAGGATGAGAGTTAGAAGGAGAGACAGAGAAAGAGGGCAGATGCTGGACTCAGGATGTCCTGGGCACAAGAGAAGAAAAGAGGAAACAGAGGGCTAATTTCCTGCGCTGCCAACAAAATATGCGTCAAAACTAAATTAAAGCTTTTTTTCCATCTAAATATTTCTTCCATAGCATCAGATGTGCTTGTGTTTGATGATCCATGATTTAATGTACATTGCGTTTACAATTCATTGACCGTAAGATAAATAACAATATCCGAGTCCTCAGGTCTCTACTGTCTCTTCCTCTCATTCAGCAGAACTCCAGGGAGTTTACCAGAAACAAACAAAAGGAAACATCTTGAGTGAAAATATAGGTCTGTCATCCAGTGACCATTTCCATTCGGTAGACACTACACACACTCTCTCTCTCTCAATACACATGCATACGGTAAAATATGTCTCTTACACACATAAAAAAGACAGTGTGTCCTGACCTCATATTTTACCACAATGAATTTTCCGATTGGATCTCATGGGACAAACTTCAGATATATGACTTTTCCATAATGCTAAAGCAAAAGGAAAAGATGAAGAGGTTATTATTTTCCCCCTGTCGTCTACCTGATTTAACATACAACTCTGAGACGCCAGGAGGACAGCGGTAGAATTGATCGGTTCAAATGTCAGTCCCAAATATGAAGGAGTGGATTTTTAGGTAACAATGACTTTGCTCTTGACTGATATAATGAGAAACAATGACTTTGGACCGACTTAAATAATGATTTTACATCATAACCTTGTTCTGAATCACAACAAACACAAGCTTTACAGCTGGTTAAATAGGCTACATTTGTATAAGATTTACAAACACAGCTATGTTTTTAAATTTCACCCCAGATGGGTTGTTTGTCTTTTCTTCCGTGCAAACGGGCCCTGCAAAACAACATCACTTTCCCCTCTCCTAATGACTACCAGCAGCCAGCGCTGCGGCTCTGCTTCAAGCCTCTCCAAGACCGACAGACTTTCAGATCAGAGATCTTCTCACTGACTCTACAACTCTGTGGTGGTTCTGCAGTGAAAATATACATGTATGTGCAAACAAAAATGCAAAATGAGTTAACAAAAATGCTCTATCCATTCAATAACAACACTTTAAGTACACTTTTAAAAATAAAGGTCCCAAAAGAAGGTTTTTGCAGTGATGCAGTAAAGAATTTGACCAATTTCTTAGCCTGAAGAACATTTTAAATATCAAAATAACCTTTTGTTTAATGAAAAGGTTCAGTGGATATTAAAAGTTCTTCATGAATCCATTGATGCCAATACCTTCATTTTTTTAACAGCTTTAAGCAGAACCCTGCATATCCAAAGCCCTCCTCGGGCCTCTGTCTGCAAAAAGCATGAGTTAAGAGAGGCTTATGTAAGCATGTGGTGGAAATATTACCCATCGTCTTCCTCCGTTAACACAACACCCCCATCTCATCACCACTGACCTCCGTACGTTCTTTTCTCCATGCTTTTTTATTTTGCCCTGAACTCAAAGTCACTTTAGAGATTTAAAAAACTTCAACCCATATATTAAATTCTCTTTTTCAAATTCCTTTACAGCTGTTTATTAGCTGCTATTTTAAAATTAATTTCACTGTAAACGTCCTAATAAAACAAGCAACTGTTGAACCAAGAGCCTAATCCGAAGAATTTCAGTTAAAGTGTCAGTGCCAACCCAGTGCACATGACCCAACAGAGAAATCATATCAACAGCAGATGTTTTTTTTTTTTACGAGCACCTCAGTATGCTGCTGTCAAGGTGAAAAGTTTCTCCTGTGGAAATCAATTAGAGTCTCATGCTCTCCAGATGTGGAACCATTGGCAGGTACTAGTAATTCTTCCTGTGCTCCTATTCATAAGTTTGACCCATTTATAGGGGATATTGTGGTCTGGAACAAAAATATGGTGAAACAAGTGGACTCATTTTAATTGTCTGGAATCCTCTTGAACCAAAGTCAAGGTCAACATCTCTTGGGTTTATGTGCTTTTGGCCAGTTACGGTTTGGCGATGCTGGGGTTTGCTTGTGTCTGCATGCTATTAACACTCCACAATGTCAGGTGGGGAATCAATGCAATTCTGTTGGCTCAATGGCGAAAAAAAAAGAAAAGAAAAACATTGCGACTCTGATATGACTCAGAGATGTGTTCAGGATAGGGTGTCATTCCACAAGTGTCCTTCACATTACACAGCCATGATTCAGATATTTATATTATGCATTATGCATATTAAGCATCAAGCTCAATTCACGCTAGCTCTAAATACAAAATATGTGCAATGTTTAACAAATGTAAGCTATTAAGCAAAAAAAATATTTTTTTTTATTTATTTTTGAGGAGAAAAACACATGATGGATAAACACAATCAGTCTTTACACCTGCCCCAGATGACATCTGTCTCAGAAGTCATTGGACATTTTTGTTTCAACAGCCTATTGCACCATAATTGCAAGAAAGCCACTATTTTTCAGATTTATTTTAACAATAAAAACAATGTGTAAGTTAGCGAAATCTACAATAGCCTATAAGTTTATTCTGTTTTGAAGTGTGCATTTACAAAAAACACTGATTATACAACTTTGGTTTGTATGATGGATTATTTGAACTGTAATAAATTTAAAAGCGAACCCTAAGAAAAAGCAATCACATCAAAAGCATAGTCTACTTCAAGAAGTAGGTCAGGACAGAAAATGGAAACTTTAGGACAAAGATACGAATAAAAGTAGGCTTTACTAAATTGATGATAGGTTTTAAATTGCATTGCTGCTGTATTGTGAGTCGCGTAGTAAACTTTCTTACCTTACTGGAGAAGTGGCATTGGACTTTATTAATAGAAGAGAGGTTCTGCGCTCCGAGGACAATGAAGACTCTCTTAAAGACGAACGTCCTTTTGTAGTTATAGCCTACTTTATAAACCAGCGAATAAATTTTGAAGCTGAGTCTTGCTCAAAAAAGTGATCGCTAAACCGGTGTTCGCGTAACCGTTGGCTGTATCTCTATCCTATGCGCCTGGAGGAGAGCGCGCGACAGCGACAACTGCAAGACAATTGAGTCGCTCGCTAAGCGCGAGGAGTGGGCACGCGCTTACGCCTATATTCTGTCCCTCCCACTGTTTAGTTTTCGATTCTAACTTCTATAGTTTATCGTCTATCGATTCTAACAGATTGGTGTAGAGCTTCCATTAAAAGCCATTACAAAACAATGTCATTATACAAATAATGCAATCTTACGAAATTATTGTCTTAAATTGATGTACATATTTCATGTTTTTTTATGACATTCATACACTACACATGGTATTGTAGGCTATGTGTTAACCCTCATGTTTTGTTGAGATGTACTCACAGTTTTTATGTCTGGGATCCCAGAGACCTTAATCATATCTTAAAATGATGAGAGTAGCATAATTTTATTAAATTAATATTTTTTCTTTCAAATTATTTGAACTATAATAAAAATCAGTAGAAACATATCATCAAAGGTTTTCCCCTCTATTTTACCACACAGTATTCATGGACTTTTTCAGAAATGTGACTTGTATCTATAGTTTCGTCTGTTTGGGGTCAAACTGTTGAACTTTATAATAAAAGAAATCAAAAGAAGAAACTGACAGTATTATAGTTATAGTTGACTCAATGTCATGACACGATTGTTTTAGCATGGTCTGGAAAGTTCAATTAGGGATAATGGGGGTGTAAAATGGAAAATTCAGGATCTGGAACATCAACAAAGCAGCCCTCTTTCTAAATTACTATTCAGAATGTCTGTTCAAAAATAGCTGGCCATAAGAAGGCTAACAAAAATGATTGGTAAGTCATTGCACTGAAGGGTCCGTGAGAATCACTTCCTGCTGGCTTTATGAAGGGTCTGTGAGAATCACTTCCTGCTGGCTTTAATGATAAGGCTCCAGGATGTATTTTCCCATCTGGCATTGTATTAACAGATAGCACTCTGTAATTTAGGAAATAATAGAGAATGAAGGAAAACAGAGTTTCCGTTTCACTAAGACACTCAGCAAAAGTTAGGCTGAGTCAGTTTTGGCATCAGCATATCATCTGAAGACAGGAACTTTACTTGCACATATAGGTCTTTAAATTCCCCAGGTCTGTTTCTATTATTGAACATCTTTGAATAAGTATAGACCATTTCACAAGATGTAAACAACACTGGTCCAGAAGCACTTCCTGTTTCAGTTTGTAACTTTTTTCTTTATTTCACATGTAAAGAAAACATCTTAAAGATGTTTGTTAAACTTTTTGATTCAGTTTTAAATGTTCTGTTGGTTGTATTTTATCCCAACTTTTATGTAGTGTTAAAAAACTGAAACAGGAAGTGCTTCTGGACCAGTGTTGTTTACATCTTGTGAAATGGTCTATAGTTTTTTTTTTTTTTCATATGTAAACTTTATTGCATTTCTAAAAAGGTCTAATGCACCCCAAATATATCATACTATATATTTTACACAGCCAGTTTAGTGACCATTTCTGCAGGTTACATCATTACGCCAGTAGATGGGGACAAATGACTTATCATTGACTGTGTCTTATTGACTTTTGTGTCAATATTGACTTTTGTTTCATTAAAGCAATGTCACAGTCATTGAATATCAGATTAGATCTTATTCATAATAACAGCACTGTTGCTTTTGATGTATCTTAAATATTACTATATAATATATCATATTATTCTGATTTAATATATGTCCAGTCTCAACTGCCAAGTCAAACTCCCAAAAGAGCATCCTTTTTTCAATTCCTCTGATATGATCATAGAGGGATATGATGAATCTAAGGGGGACCCCTAGTGCTAAAATAAATCCCTGCATACCTTTTCCTTTGGTGTTTTTTTTTTTTTTTTTTTTTTTTTTTTTTGTATTTGTAAAACCTCTAGTGTAAAAGAAAATCCTGTGTGCTGTAGCCGGTTGCATGATTTGCCAAAACTTGTAGTTTTTTATATCAACGTATTTAAAAAAAAAAAAATTTTTATATGGCGCTTACAGGCCTACTAATTTTTTGTATATTTGTAAATATTTAATATTTGTTGTGTTTGTACATATTTTATATGAATATAGGCAATGTATTTAAAAAAAAAAATATAAACTGTTTATTTATTTATTTATTTATTTATCAAGGACAACAACAATGATGTGATGTGCCACTTTTAGCCAAAACAGATAGCTACTTTATAAATAGATACATTTCATTAGACTAGGGACATCAGATGACATGTAAGCCATAGGATTATTGTAAAAAACAACACATAATTCCTATTACTATAAAAAGGGTCTACTTTTAGTAAACTTTGGATGTTTGACAATGACAAAGTATGACAAAGAACTGACTTTAGAGAGCTCTAATCTTAATTGTTACTATAAGAATGGAATGTAATTGAATTACCAAAAAAAGCAATTACTAGTAATGATGGGAACAATTTAAGCTTAAACGACTTGCTTGCTATGTTTAAAACAAACACACACACACACACACACACACACACACACACACACACACACACACACACACACACACACACACACACACACACACAAACGGAAAAAAAAAAAAAAAAAAAACAATGCATGCACCAAAATGTTAAACTGTGAATCTCAATGTATCGATTTATAAATATTTATTACTACAAATTATACAATATATTTACATATAATAAACAATCTTTCCGATACACGTCTATTATTAGTATTGCTATTAGTTTGCTATTAGTGTGTTTTAGGTTAAATTTCGTACCAATGTGCTGAATTTATCAAACGCGTTCTGGCAAGAGAACAGAGCTTTTCTGGGCTTTCGGGCGACCCTTACCTACAGCTGCTGCTACTCTCAGCAGCACTCACGCACCGGGGCTAGCTTTGTCATTCACGCGTTTCGTAGTTTCCAGCCACTGACACCAGTAAAAATGCGTTTACCATGGTTTATCATCTGTCTAGTTTTCACTGTGTGGTGTGCGGAGGGCAGCGATGTGCTCGAGCTCGGAGACTCTGACTTTGACCGGAGCGTAGCCTTGCACGAGACTCTGCTAGTGGAGTTCTTCGCACCTTGGTACGTTCTGTCCCAGGCAGTCCACAATATATGTTATAATTCTACGAAAGTAACGTTATAAATTTAGCTGCTACCAGGTTGTAGTGTAGTTAGTTTGGTCTTAAGCTGGGGTTTTCTTAATTTTAATGTATGGATCTTTTAAGAGAGTTATAATGGTTGTGTTAATGCATAACGTTAGTGCATAAATCTAAATGATGACTTATAGAGGTGCATGAAGCTAAACTATGATGACCATTCACAATTATCTGATTTAAACAATTATAAATCCCTTTAGATCCATTTTAACCTTAAACTGACCCTTAAAACAGTGCAATGAATTAACAATGTAACATTAACACTCATATATGATGTGCTCACAGGTGTGGTCATTGTCAGCGTCTTGCTCCAGAATATGAGGCTGCTGCCACAAAGCTGAAAGGGACATTGTCTCTGGCAAAGGTGAGGAGTGATGGACCCATGAGTTTCTGTTACCGAGCTCAATCTTCAGTCTTTAATGCTACACAGCTGCCTCATTCTGCAAGATCATGCTTTTACATGTATGTCTTTAGTGAATTTGTCTCTTTCCGTTCCTTTGATGAGGTTGACTGCACTGCGAACTCTGAGATCTGTGAACGTTTTGGAGTGAATGGATACCCCACCCTTAAAATATTCCGCAATGGAGAGGATGCTGGATCGTATGATGGACCCAGAACAGCAGGTTGATACCATGTGTCCATGCATACAGTACTGTTTAAAAGTTTGGGGTTGGTAAGATTAAAAGAGGTGTCTAATACTCACCAAGGCTGCATTTATTTGGTCATAAATATAGTAAACCAGTTATTTTGTGAGTTGTTATTACAATATAAAATGTAATTGATTCCTGTGATGACAAAGCTGAATTTTCAGCTGCTAATTACTCCAGTCTTCAGTGTCACATGATCCTTCAGAAAGGATTTGGTGCACAAGTAACATTTCTTATTGTTATCGATGTTGAAAATAGTTGTGCTAAACAGTTGTTTTTTCAGGATTCTTTAATGAATATAATGTTTATTTGAAATAGAACAGCATTTAGTTGAAATAGAAATATGTTGTAAGTCATAAATGCCTTTACTGTCACTTTTGAACAATTCATCCTTGCTGAATAAAATAATTAATTTCTTTGAAGAAAATCTTACTGACCCCAAACTTTTTAATGGTATTGTATGTTTTATTTTTTGTTTCCCTTTTTTTTGGCTGTAACTATTTTAGTTACTTGCATACCTATATCTTGATCTAAAATAGATGGAATTGTGAGCTACATGAAGAAGCAAGCAGGCCCAAGTTCCGTGGCTCTGCACAATGAGGCAGATTTGGATTATTTTACCAACAACTATGAGGCCAGTGTGGTGGGTGAGTAGCAGAGTTTGTAATACCTGCCATAAAATGTTGAATTGCTCCTGTAGCAGAAGGTCAAAACTAGTCAGATTTGACTTCTGCATTCATCTTTTGGAACTGAAAAAGGCCGAGGTTCTTACGTTTCATATCTTGTCTCTGTTCATCCCAGGCTTTTTCTCTGGGGAAGATAGTGCACAGCTTGCAGAGTTTCTGAAGGTCTCTGGTGCCCTGAGGGACAGCTATCGATTTGCACATTCCACTGATATGGGATTGAGCTTGAAATATGGGGTAGATGGAGAGTATGTATGACAGAGCATTAAGGAAACATCCATTTGTGAAAATGAGCAAAATTCAGCTTTGGCTAAGCCCCGCCCCCCTTAGTTACTGTTGCTACATCCATCAAACTTCATCTGCGCTCTGCGTGGCTTATGCTGTAACAGCTCATCCTGCTGAAATGTTATCAAACTTTTATAAAGCAGCAAATAAAGTGTCCGATAGAAGTAGGCAAAAGAGGCTGCAATATGTGTTCGAAGGCTATATTCAAGACATACAGTTGAAACGCAAGAAACAACAATCCATCCAAAATAGAGACAAAAGCATAATGTTACTTACCGGTCACAGTCAAAAAAATAATCTCCACATATCCTACTAATCGAGGCGGGGACTAAATATCAGGGAGCAACACTGTTCATGCAAAGCTGGGTAGGTCTCTATTCACTTCTATAATCGTTATTACAAAGCAAACTGACTACACGAGTATAGTTTGTAAAGTTTTTTATTGAGCATATATACATTATACAGTCTTCGATCAACAATACAGGAGAGGCTCAAACATTTTTATATAACTGTACATATAGACAAAAACAAAAACAGACAAAGCGGAAGTAGAATAAAGTTTGGTAGCAGAAAGTTCAATAATAATTTATATGAATAAAGTAAAAGGAAATAAATATTTATACAGATACTGATTGTAAGAAATCTGTAAAGGGTTGCCAGATCTTATAAAAACCTGAGAGATTGTCCTTCAACAAATATCTAATTTCTTCCAAATGTAGAGTACTGGACATGTCCCGAAGCCACATTTTGTCGGTGGGTATTTCTGGCCCTTTCCATGACATCAGGAGTAACTTTTTTAGCAGTAATAAGAGAGTAGGAAATGAACTGCTGCTGGGGTGAAGTCAAATTTCTAAAGAACTGTGATGTGCCAAGGATAATCAACAATGGTTCCGGTAATAATGTAATCTTAAAAATTCTTGACAATACATTAAATACATCAGACCAGTAGGTGGCAACTTTAGGACAAGAAAAAAAAGCATGAAAAAGTGTTGCATTGAGGGACTGACAGTTATCACAGTTTGATAAAGCTTTCGGGAAAATGTTGTGGATCTTTACTTTTGAGAAGTGAAGCCTATGTATTATTTTGAACGACTACACGAGTATAACGTTGTATTTATTAGCAGCGTGTGCTAGCGTATCAACAATCGGTATGAGAACCGAAATCATAACCTAAAACATTATAAAACTAGTATAACTTCACAGTAAGGTTAGAAGTAAAAAAAGATGTGCTTGTTGACCTTTGGGGGGTTTAGCTGACTGAGGACATCCATACAGTTTAATCCAAAAATGACACTTGTCAGGATTTGACTTCGGTTTTGGGAAGGGAAAAAAACGGACACCCCCCCTCCAACCTCTGGGAAACGCGCATCTTTGTTACAAATGCCCCAGGCTCAATGTCTAACCATATTTTTGATGAACTACAACGGTAATAGCCTGCCGAGACCAAGAATATGAGACGCCTGTGTTGAAAGTCAATGGAGCGCAATTGTCGGAGTCCGTGTGGGAGCTCGTTCTTGGCTGCGCTGTGATTGGTCAAGCTACATTTTAGGGCGTGGCTTAGCCAAAGGTGAATATGGTCAATATTTCATGTTAAAGTATGTCCTCAACATCCTTTTTTTCCCCACTTGCTGTCAGAGATTGAGCTGACCAAAAACGTCTCTACCAAAACTTGAAAATATGTAGTAAAAATAAAATTGTACGGTTAAGATAAGATACCCAAAGATAAAATCATTTAAGATGTTGTATACAAGTAGTCCATATAATGTCCTTTACTTTTAAGTATTGGAAATGGTAGTACGGTATATTCAATATTTGCATTTTTTACATTAAAAGATTTACAGAATGCATATGGTACATTTGGTATATCAAGTAGAAATGTATATTTTGGTATTTGGATACATTTGATATATCAAGCTATCAATAATTTTTCATCAAGGTCTCAGAGATTTCTAGCTTGACATTTGTACAATAAAATGGATTTCTCCATCCTTTTTTTGTGTGGCATCTAAGAAGTCATTTGGAATGGCACATATTTATTCAGTTCAGAGAAAATTCAAACAACAATTTATCAAAAATGGAGTATGATAAAAAATGTACAACCCATTACTTGCACTGCATTTACTGTTAGTTTTTTGTTCTAATATTGGCTTCTCTTGCATTGCAGGTGTGTTCTGCTGTTTCGTCCCCCTCGTTTAAACAGCAAGTTTGAGGACAATGTGGTGAAATACACAGAATCCGTTTCGATTTCTTCTCTCCGTACATTCATCAGAGACAATGTGTATGTTTCTTTAACGCTTGAATATTTTGTGGGAATATGGTCAAGCAGTTGTACATATGCATTTTGATTTATTGTGATTTGTTTGCCCATATGTCCCTATTTCTGTTATTTTCCTCTTGCTCTGCTTTAGATTTGGTCTATGTCCACATCTGACCACAGAAAATAGGGACAGTCTGAAAGGAAGTGACCTGCTTACAGCGTATTACAATGTAGATTATGTGCGAAATATCAAAGGCACAAACTACTGGAGGAACAGGTGAGCACCCAATTATTGGATTCCTTATTGGATCATTTCCTTGTCTTTTATATATTTTTATTTTTCTCTCAGAATAATGAAGGTGGCAACCCAGTTCCAGGCTCAAGGTCTGAGTTTTGCGGTGGCTGATCGACAGGAGTTCCAGGATGAGCTTGAGGAGGAGTTTGGTGTGAGTTCGGTTGAGGGAGGAGACATTCCCCTCGTCACCATCCGGACCAGAGCGGGACACAAGTACTCCATGCAGGAAGAATTCACGTGAGTCTTGCAACTAGTCTCCACATAGTGCTTTTCTGTTGTCACAATCAATAGATTTGAGAAAAATCTATTGGTTTTGGAAAGGTTTTAAAACTTTGTTTGGTTCTGTAGGCGAGATGGCAAGTCCTTGGAGAGGTTCCTGGAGGATTACTTTGCTAAAAGATTGAAACGATATGTGAAGTCTGAAGCTGTTCCAGAGTCCAACGATGACTTTGTCAAGGTACATGGACCCACAAAGGTGTTTTTGTCTTTAATGTGTGAAGATAATAATGTTTTCTTGTATACATCACATATGTGGTTCCACAGGTCGTGGTTGCTGACACATTTGATGAGATTGTGAATGATCCAGAAAAGGATGTGTTGGTTGAATTTTACGCTCCCTGGTGTGGCCATTGCAAGAGCCTGGAGCCTAAGTACAAGGAGCTTGGAGAAAAGGTTTTTTAACACAATTTATATACATTATAAATCATTTTTAACATGCAACCGTTTGGGTTGGTAAGATTGTTTTATGTTATTGAAAGATGTCTAATAAGGGCCAGCGGATGATATCATTCTGTTTATTCTAATCGCACGCTGCAGTTTTGTCGTCTGTCGCTTTAAATACTCTCGCTCTTTAAAGCAAGATGGATTCTGATTGACTGTCAATGTTTTTATCGTTCATCAGCGGGGGAAAAAATTGTTCAGTAAGTGATTCCAATGATATTGTTTCTGTGTGCCGTTATCGTTATAGCTGTGGTGTGAACTCTGATATTCTTTTATATTTAGAAATGTTTTTGGAACTACATCTTTATTGATATTTTTATAGTTATTGTTCTTGGTGTGAATGGGCCTTTATGCTTCCCATGGTAGCATTTACATAAAAAAAAAATTACTTGTATTTACTTGTAACTGATTTTGCAGATAATTTGTTTAAAAATGTATTCAGTTAGCTCTGCTGGTTGATGTCATTGTACAGAAAAGAATGTTGTGACAGTTGGTCGGTGTGTGTTTGTCCCGCCCCTCCTCCACTGTGATTGGACGTCTGGGTAAAAAGTGACAGTGATGAGCGCTGCATTTTACCCAAAGTTGAACATTCTCTTCAACTATCAGCGACCTGTAAAAAATAATTGAAAAAAATTGCCAGGCCTTTGAAAAAATGCTTTGGTGGACACAGCCTATCTATTATCATCAGCATCATTACTTTAGTTTTCAGTGTCACATGATCCTTCAGAAATCATTCTAATATGCTGATTTAATACTGATTTAATAGCATTTTGTGTTGCTATCAATGTTGAAAACAGCTGTGCTGCGTAATATTTTAATGGAAAACTTCCAAAGTTTTTCAAAAGAAAAGTAGAAAGTTCAAAAAACAGCATTTATTTGAAATAGAACTCTTGTAACTTTAAATATGTCTACTCAATTTAATGCTTTCAGTTTTGCTGAATTAAAGTATTAATTTCTTTACAAAACAAATCGTACTGACCACAATCCTTTGAACTGTAGTACTTTAAGAAATAAAGCCACAGTGGACCTCATGCTCATTATTTGGATTTTGTGTGTGTCTTAGCTGTCCGGGGACCCCAACATTGTCATTGCTAAAATGGACGCCACAGCTAATGATGTGCCCCCAAATTATGATGTCCAAGGGTAACATTCTGTCTCTCTCTTTATGTCTCTGATCTATTTATAGTCCATTACAACAGACATTCATTGATATTCAGCCATTTATTTTCTTGATTCATCACCTATTTTGCCTAAATGCAGATTTCCAACCATTTACTTTGTGCCCTCTGGACAAAAAGACCAGCCACAGCGATATGAGGTGAATATAATCATGCACACAGATTATTTTAAGACAATTTGACTACAATGTTGCTTAAGCAGTTTTGTCCTGCAGGGTGGTCGTGAGGTTAGTGACTTCATCACCTACCTGAAGAAAGAGGCCACACATCCGCTCATCTTGGATGAATCAAGGGATGAACTGTAAACACATAAAGATGCTGAATTTATCAGGTGGAGAAATGCACAGACCCACACTGAACTTCAGCCAGATGTGTCACACGCAGCTATTCATCACATCCACTGGGACATCAAAGCACATGATCACTTGTAAAAGCAATTCATCACTTGTAAAATGTTAGTCAATACACAACTGGACACATAAGGAATGTAATTTACAGTAATTATATAGGTAAAGGGTTAGTTCACCCAAAAATGATAATTCTCACTGTCATGCCATTTTAAACCCGTAAGACTTTCATTCATCTTCAGAACATAAATGAAGTTATTTTAAATGAAATCTGATTGATTTCTCTCCCTCCATTGACAGCTAAGCAACAACCACATTGACTCAAGTTTAATTCAGTTTTTTTTTTTAAGAGACATGATTTCTTTGTGTTGAACAGAAATAATTTAGGGTTTAATTCACATATAAACATTGATCAATGCACACATCAGTTGTGGTAAACCAAAGCTCATTTCATGTTTCAATCTCAATGTCGCTTCAGAAAACATAGTTTTACAATCAGAAGGCTTAGTTTTACAATCTCTATGAACTTTTTGACAGGGTAGTTGTGTGGACTGTCAATGTAGGGACAGAAATCGCTCATGTTTTACTAAAAAAAAATCTTGATTTGTGTTCCGAAGATGAACGAAAGTCGTACAGGTTTGGAACTACATGAGGGAGAGTAAATGATTTTTGGGTAAACTAACCCTTTAAAATGCTGTATTTGATTCTGTTATTTAACAATCTGCTGCCAAGTTGCCCTCGTTTTCTTTTATTCTGTCTTTTATAACAAAATGCACTGCATATGTGAAATATGCTAATTTCCTGTCTCTTTATTTAAAGAGAGACTGTTTATAGGTCACTTATCACATACATGTTACTGTAGCATCCTAAAGTGTTCCATTGACTGAATGCTCAGTGCTGGCTTGTTTAGTTTACAAAATGTTAAAAATGTTACTGTGTTGGTACTTTAATTACATAATCTCTTCATAGTCCATTCAGATATTACTATAAAACTTTGTTTCAAGTCTATTGGATGTTAGAAATTCTGTAAGCAGTTGATGACTGTGAAATAACAGTCTGAAAAGAATTGGGGTGCCTGTTCTACCTCCTTATGTCTTATCAAATTAAACTTCTGTAAGGGCTCATTTTGGATCGCATCTTCTATCCACACATGTGAGGACATGGGATGTTAACAACTGTTCCCAGGCTAGTAATCCTTTAGAAGTTTGACATGTATTTCTTGGACTGTTTATGTAATCACGAAGGGGAGTGTTTTGTGTTCGACACAATAAAGAAATGGACAAGACACTGTGTATTGTGGCATATATTTGTTATATATTTTATATTAGACCTACTGTTTTAAAGGTTACACAGCAAGATGAGCTATTTGTGATCCAAAAACAGTTTTATATAAAATGTAATTTTAACAATTTAAAAATATTGTCATGTTAAATATATTTTCTTTTGTAAATCAATAAAAGGTAATACTTTTACTTAATTTATCACTAATTAAAAGTAAAATCAAATCTATTAGTTTATTTTTCAGTGCATGCATTTATTTTCAATGTTACCTTATAATTGTTTAACCATTTAATAGTGCTTACTGTAATATTTTTTGCATTTTTTCCCATTAAAATTACTTACATTTTTTTTGTGTAGAGTAAACGTCATAGCATACATTTTGAAATATACACCTGCGATTTAGATATCATAGTATAAATAGTATAATTATTTCACTTAATGTAGATTTTTTTAAATTGTTCTTTTAATTTGCAAGTTCAAGTTTTAGCTAGGAATTATATTCATCATGATGACTGTTCTCAGGATTCTTTCGAGAACTTTTCAGTCTTCTGTTCCAGTCTGGACCCGCCTACAAGCATTGGGGCGCTTTCTTTGATTGGTGGAGATAGGTGTATGCCAAAAGCGTCTCTTTTGCTTATTGGTCCACTTTGTGGCTGAATCCCCAGCCACGCCTCGTGCTTCCTCTCCTCTTACCGTTGTGTGCGTTGTCCGGTACCGGTGATCAAAACCACGCCGCAAACATGATGGGCAGACCGGTTCTCGTGCTTAGTAAGTGCTTCCCCCATTATCCCCCCTGTAAATGTGCAATTGTAGCTTTATTATGACCCGTCGCTGGACTCGGTACGAGTTCGAATAAGAGTTTTATTCATGCGACAGTGCTAGAATGCTAAGCTAACTAGTGTGGCACGGGGGCCTCGCGTGTCTGACAAGCTCATGTCAGTGTTCGGATTAGTCATTGTGTTAGCCTCGTAGCTAACATTACTTATTAATAGAAATGTTATTGCATATTGCACAAGAAGTTACACAGTCAATGTTAAAATGAACGCTGTTATTCGCAGTTATTTGCTAAATTTACCCGGCTGTAGGTTCTGTCTAACGGACGTTTCAAAGTAATGAATAAGCTAGCCTGCAGGCTAGCGGCGCAGTGTGTGCTGACCAGAGCTGCACCCACTTCATGTTTTGACTGATTAGCATTATTGATATTTTCTCAGTTAGCATGGTCAGGTATTGTTTTTTGTTCGAAAATAAATGGATTTTAGATGTTAGAGCAGTGTCTTTTGTTAATAATAAATAAAATATTAAGATGCAGAGTTAATCCAAACTGGCTCTGTTTCTGTTCATAACAGGTCAAAACACAAAGAGGGAATCTGGACGGAAGGTTCAGATAGGAAACATCACTGCGGCTAAAGTGGGTCTTTTATTTTCTATTTTTGCTGAGGTAAAATTGAATAACACCGCTAACAAGCTGCTCCATCTTCTCTTTTCAGACCATTGCTGATGTCATAAGGACATGTCTGGGACCAAGGGCTATGATGAAGGTGTGTTTCTAATGTTAAGTCCACATTTATATGTTGCTGCATTGTTAGATGTGACATCTAAACTTGCTCTATGTTTGAGGAAACATTTTGTTCTCTGTGTGCAGATGCTGCTGGATCCAATGGGTGGTATTGTCATGACCAATGATGGCAATGCCATTCTGAGAGAGGTAATCAATCCATGAACTCTGATTTATCAACTAAGATGCATGTTTTGTGTTTAATAAATATTAATCTAACGTTCTCTCTGTGTCATTTAGATCCAGGTCCAGCACCCTGCTGCCAAGTCCATGATTGAGATTAGCCGCACACAAGATGAGGAGGTTGGAGATGGGACCACCTCTGTAATTATTCTGGGTGAGGGTCATCTGTGTGTCATTACAGATGGAGTCTGTGTAACCATGTGAAAATAATGAAAGAATTAGGATTTGCTTTTAATGTTTACTTGAATAATTACTTTTGTAATTTAGTAATATTTTAACAACTTATTATTGATAATCTCATAATTATTATATAAATAAAGAAGAAAATAGTTAACGCATTGTTAATTTTTAAAATAATTTGACTTGCTCAAATCCCAACCTAACATTTTGTGTACAGCGGGTGAGATGTTATCTGTGGCTGAGCAGTTTCTAGAACAGCAGATGCATCCTACCGTGGTGATCAGTGCATACAGACAGGCTCTGGATGACATGTTGAACATACTCAAAGACATCAGGTAATAAGCACACACACAACTAGTCGTAATTGTCTGTATGAGCTCTTAACCATTAAGCAGCCGAGTTTATTAGTGGATTGGTAAGGTGGATGATTGGTTGTGGTAGGATGATATGTTCTGCAGTCTGATCATTTCTCTACAACCTCTTCTTTCACAGCACCCCAGTAGATGTGAATAATCGTGACATGATGTTGAAGATAATAAACTCTGCCATCAATACCAAAGCGCTCAGTCGCTGGTCCACCTTGGCCTGTAACATTGCTCTGGATGCTGTCCGTACTGTTGAGCTGGAGGAAAACGGACGCAAGGAGATCGACATTAAGAAATATGCCAAAGTCGAGAAGGTAGGACAAAGCTGACTGAATAAAATTTTTTTCCTGTTGTTTACTTCTCTTATTGCAGCATTAGCCCCGTTTCCACCAAAATTATCCAGAACATAATTTTTTCCCCCAGACTTGTTGCTTTTAGCGTTTGCACTGTGGTCTAGAGTACGATGTAGAATAGGCAAATTAGTCCGGTGTCGTAGGACTGCTCGCACCATAACAGAAAAAAAAAATGGTGGTTGAAATAAAATGCTGCGTGGAGTCAACCAATCAAAATGCATCATGAACTCACCCAATCAACATGTTCAGCACCCAAGTCCCACCCCAAAAGTTCCTGAACTTTGAATAAGAACTACCTTCCAAGCAGGGACTTTCTGAGGGGGAAATTGTTTACCTGGAACTTCATTTTTAGACCCTGGTTCCTGCGGTCGAAACACAGAGTACCACCCCAAAGTTCCTAGTTCTTGGGTACACTTCCTGGAGTGAAAACGCAGCTATATACGGTAGTGGCCAAAAGAGATGTCGGGCCCAGGAAAATTGACATATTTACTGTGGTGTAAAGATACACTCGTGTTACGATTGGATAAAAAAATCGGTGTACTAAACTCACGATACTATCGCAGTATTTTTATTAATTTTTTTACTTGAATAATTTGGTTTTTTTTTATAATTTCTTTTATTAAAATTATATTTTATCATGTCCCACAAATATTCTCCCATTACATTATTATACTTTACTACATTAAACTACTATATACTGTATTTAATATAAGTATATTTAATATATACTTTGAACTTTAAGTAACCTGCATTTTTTTTTTTAGTTAATTTGTAATCAAAACAACCCAGCTGCAGTTTGATTGATAGTTCTCTGTTTTTGCAAATGAACTCTTTTATTGTGAATGTCCCAAATGGGAGAGGGTGTGCAATTTTCAAAGAGTTTATTTAAATGTTCATATTATATATTTTGGTTGCATTTGTGAGTTAATAAAAATGTTAAAACCGGTTATGTAAACTTTGCACATTATCTAAAAATTAATAAATCCTCCGATATAGCCCTGAATCTAATCGTATCGCAGAATTTTCTGGTATCTGCTAATTTCGTATTGCTGGTTGAGAGAATCGATATCGTAATGTGATGAACTGTCTGATTTACACCCCTAATTTGGATAAGACCTCTAAATTTATTATTAATGTAAAATATTTTTCTCATATTTCCAGTTAAATCATTGTACTTGTAGGCTCACTAAAAATGCATACCACCAGAAAATTATAGCCAATAGCCAAAAAAAAAAAGGTAAGACCAATAGGTGGATAATGGATAAAATTAAGCCTTTTTTTTGTAATGGTTTACAAGTGGCAATTTACCTTGACTTTAAACTGCTTGTTTAAATGTGGCTTCGGTTTACCCAAATGCACTTTTTGTTTGTGTATAGGTGCCTGGTGGCTTCATTGAGGACTCATGTGTGCTGAAGGGTGTAATGGTAAACAAGGATGTAACTCATCCCCGTATGCGAAGACTGATTAAGAACCCCAGAATTGTTCTGCTGGACTGCTCTTTGGAGTACAAGAAGGGTGAGAGTCAGGTGAGGTTTTGTCTAAATCTATAAATCCCTTATTGACTATATTTACATATTTAGTAAAAGCTTAACTTGACCCTTTCTTTCCCCCCTCAGACTGATATTGAGATTACTCGTGAGGAAGACTTTTCCCGCATCCTGCAGATGGAGGAAGAGTACATCCAGCAGATCTGTGAAGACATCATTCGTCTCAAACCTGACCTGATCTTCACTGAGAAGGGCATCTCTGGTACACATGAGCACTCATGCAGTCATGTGTTTATGAGAAAGGATGGTGGTCAGTTCAGATCACATGTGGATTAAAGTCATTTCTTTGTCATTTCTCTAGATCTGGCTCAGCACTATCTGGTGAAAGCAAACATCACTGCGATCCGTCGTGTTAGAAAGACGGACAACAACCGCATTGCAAGGTGCAGAAATATCTGCTTTTGTCAATATATTTAAAATTTTACTTCTGTAGTTTATTACATAAATGGTGGTTTATTTTGCCAAACTTGCATGCAAAAAGGTAACTGTTTTCTTTGTTCTAAGGTTTGGGAAAACTTGGAAATTTAAAATGTAAAAATCTTTTATATATATATTAGGGGTGGAGCCGAACTCTAATACGGTATTCGGAAAGGCACAAATAACGTGTTTTTACAAATACTTATAAAGTTTTTCTTGTTCCCGAATACAAAGATTTTTTTTAATCAAAAAGCTGCGTTTCCTAATGAGACCGCACTGCAGTGCATGCCCGGATGAGAGAGTAACGCCGGTTTCACACTGCACGTGTAAGCAGTGCATATTTTTTTTCGGTGCTCATGTTAACAGGTTAGAGCATTCACATCGCATGCAGATGAAAATTTCCAAGTGCGTCCATGCCGCATCGAGATAAAAACATCTCAACTTTTCAGAATAACGTAGCCGATGGTTGCTTAGCAATGTCAGACGCCTCCGGAGTGCAACCGCCCTTGCGCTTTGAAAAAAGAAAAAGCCTATGCGTTTTCATGCGCTATATGTGAATATGCCCTTACTCTGTGTTTTGCATACAGCAAAATGTAATGCTGGATTTATGAAAAAACATCAACCAATATTGCATTGGTTATGATGGTCCATAATTATTATAAAATGATATCATTTAAGAATACTTAAATTTTTCTCAAATACAAATAGTCCCCCCCCCACCCCCCCCCCCCCCCCACCCAGCAGATACAAATACCGGCTGCTTTGCACACCCCATACATGTGTGTGTGTATATATATATAGTTTATATTTTAGTAATTCAACTTATTTCAATTTGTTGCCATGGCAACATTTGGTTTTCAAGTTTTTCATCTGTTTGTTATATTTTACTTATTTATCTTTATCTCAAGTACCTAAAACAATTTAAATATTTACAACTAATGGTTCGGAATAAAACCCTGAACCAGTAATCAGAAACTACTGGAGAATTTCTGAATGTATTGGTCAAAAAAGTGACTCTTCCTCTGCTTGTCTGTCTCAGAGCATGTGGTGCGCGTATTGCCAGCAGAACGGACGAGCTCCGTGAAGAGGATGTGGGTACGGGAGCTGGCCTGTTTGAAGTGAAGAAGATCGGCGATGAGTATTTCACCTTTGTGACAGAGTGTAAAGACCCCAAAGCCTGCACCATTCTGCTCAGAGGAGCCAGCAAGGAGATCTTAGCGGTAAGAAACAACAGGAAGAGGGTACTAAAGAGTCTAGGGTCATTGTTAAAGATTCATGGCAGTGCAACGCTCAGAGGAAGATTAATGAGAATGCATTTTAACTGTTATAACGAGTTTAACAAAGGTCTCTATAGTCAGAGCAGCCCTCAGGAAGAGGTGCTTTAGATATTTCAACTGGCCATTTGTTGAATATTTGATCAGTTCAGCCTGAGTTCTCTGGTCCCAGGTGATTTTGCACAGGTTAATTGACTTGTCTCCATTTGACTGATGATCTTTCTCTGCTTTCTCAGGAAGTGGAGCGCAACCTACAGGATGCCATGCAGGTCTGTCGTAACGTCCTGTTGGACCCGCATCTGTTGCCAGGGGGTGGAGCAGTGGAGATGGATGTGTCCCATCGGTTGATGGAGCGTTCGCGAGCGCTGACTGGTGTGGAGCAGTGGCCATACCGCGCTGTGGCTCATGCCCTGGAGGTCATCCCACGCACACTCATTCAGAACTGTGGAGCATCAGCAATACGTGTGCTCACTGCCCTTAGGGTACGTTGATTCAAAAAGCGCATTTAGATTCTTGTATTTCTCTCAGCACGTTACTGCCTCTCCCGAGTCACTGACACTCAATTGCCGTTTAAGTGGTCTCTGTTTCGGACTCTTTTTCAGGCCAAGCACACTCAGGAGGGCAACACCTCATGGGGGGTCAATGGGGAGACAGGAATTCTTGCTGATATGGAGCAGCTGGGGATCTGTGAACCACTGGCAGTTAAAGCCCAGACTTACAAAACTGCAGTGGAGGTAAAGACACAATTAATTAATTAAAATATTTTTTTAATTAATTGAAAAAAACTGTGCAGTTCTTAAAGCCTTAACTTTGATTTTAGAAACTCTACAGATACACTGATTTAAACTCACGGTGGAAGGTTTTCTTATAGGACTGATAACAAATTTTCTCTTTTTCTTTTCATTTAGACTGCCATCCTGTTACTGCGCATTGATGACATCGTTTCTGGTCACAAGAAGAAGGGAGATAACCAGATGGGTGGAGCACCGATGGAGGGCCAGGAGTAGAGAGAACAGGTGATAAAGAGGATGAAGGAACCAGAGTACAGAAAGGACAGTAACGCAGCAAATGAAGAGCATATACACAAGCATTTATCTGTGCAAAACACCGTTCTCCAAACACAATGTTCTCATCAGAAAGCCATTTGCACTGTTGCGTCATTAGGCCAGAAGCTCTTCTCACCTCGTTTGGTTTTTCTTTTGCGAAAGAAACAACTCTGGATTGGTTTAGGATATTTGTGCTAGTATTTCTGTGCTTCACTTTGCCTGTATTGTTACTTTGTATTTCCTACCGGTGATAAATTTCAAAATCTAAACATGTTGTTTTGAATTTTTTTGCTTTGTGTTGAAACCCCTACAAATTGCATACAAAATTTATAACACCTTGGTAGTTAAAGGATTAGTTCACTTTTGAAAAAACTTTTGCTGATATTTTACTCACCCCCATGTCATCCAAGATGTCCATGTCTTTCTTTCCTCAGTCGAAAAGAAATTTAGGTTTTTGATGTAAACATTCCAGGATTTTTCTCCATATAATGGACTTCAATGGGAACCGGATGGTTCAAGTATCAAAAGACGGTTAAAAACTGTTTCAGATGCAGCTTCAAATGTCTTTAAACGATATCAGACGATGAATAAGGGTCTTATCATGCGAAACGATCGGTTATTTCAAAACTTATTCCAAAATGTAACTTTTATAAGGACAAATGTTAGCCTTGCTATATTCTGTGAGGCGCGTTTGCAACGTCACGTATTACGTAATTACGTTCAAAAGGTCACGGGCGACGTAGCCGAAAGTACAGAGTCAGTGTTTACAAGTTGAACGCATAGGTTGAACGTGCAAACTAACTCAAACACCGTTTACAAAAAAAGGAATTAAAAGGAAAAACAACGATGTCGGACGATTTTGATTCTGTACTTCCGGCTACGTCGCCCGTGACCTTTTGAACGTAATTACGTATTACGTGACGTTACAAACGCGCCTCAGAGAATATAGCAAGGCTAGCATTTGTCCTTATAAAAGTTACATTTTTGGAATAAGTTTTGAAATAACCGATCCTTTTGCATGATAAGACCTTTATTCATCGTCTGGTGTCGTTTAAAGACATTTGAAGCTGCATCTGAAACAGTTTTTAACCGTCTTTTGATACTTGAACCATCCGGTTCCCATTGAAGTCCATTATATGGAGAAAAATCCTGGAATGTTTTCATCAAAAACCTAAATTTCTTTTCGACTGAGGAAAGGAAGACATGGACATCTTGGATGACATGGGGGTGAGTAAATTATCAGCAAAAGTTTTTTCAAAAGTGAACTAATCCTTTAACCATGATTCCTTGATTTGTAAGGTGATAAACAATCAAAAAAGCTGCAAGCTTTGCAAACAAAACAGCACTTTTAGGATTTTTTTGACAATCTTTTTTTACATGTATCAAAGTTCAGTTCCCATTTTTTTCAAATGCACTCTTAAAGCTGCAGTCCATAGCTTTTTTGGGTAAAAAAAAAAATCCAAAATAAGCAAATACATAACCAGCCAGTGTTCAAAACTATCTGCTTGCCTTAGCTCGATTCAAAGCAGTAAGCTTGTAATAATGTTTTTATATGGTACTGGTGGATTTCCACGGGAAATTCAAGCATGTCTTTGCGTCATTACGTCACATCTGTACACATAAAGGAGGAGTCTCGGCTTGTAGGCTATATTGCGTGTGAGGATGCTGGAGGTGGAGGTTTATAGCCTTTTCTCACTACACTTGATAAAATTAAACTTATCAATTTAATGGCAGATCCAGAGAGGTTCAAACAACAATCACCAGTGACAACAGATTCACCTGCTGTAAAATGCAAAAGACAGCATGACAGATTTTTGATCATGAGAGAGGGATGAGGATATCACCCCTGCACTGGGCTCGCTCTCCTGTCTCTGGGTCCACTTTACTGTCTAGATCTGACAGAGAAAAGAAAAGTATATATATAAAAAATGATCCTTTACAAAATATGTATCATGCATATGGTGATCACTTTACATCACTGCCAGAGCCACTGTCTGCTTCTCTTACCCATGATCGTGTTGCTGGAGGACAGGCACCGTTGCTGGTTAATAAGGCTAATGTTGGAAGGTCCCAGATTGTCTGATATTGTTGATCCCGCAGTTTGGAAAGGAGGGTCCTGCCTGGGACGGGGGTTCACCATTGGTATTCACATGTTCTCCAGTGGCCTACAGTGGGCACGAGCGTGCTCCTGCAGCCTGTTCATTGTGGTTGACAAAACAAGTGCGTTACATAATTTAAGTTGTAACTTCCGACAGGCAGCTGGCACAATGAAAAGATAATATTATTCGCAATTCAACAAAATACAAAAATGCACCCAAGATTAAAAACTATAATCGAGCCGAGGGTAAAAGCAGACTGTCTACGATGTCTTGCATGCCACCATACTTTTCTCTTCAGAAGCACATTTTTTATTATATTTTTTCAACTGGTTATTATACATGTCATGGGTTTTAATTGCTTGTATGAATTAATTAATAGTTGTTAAACCAAGTTCTGTCATTGGTCTTCTTACCATTGCACATGTTTCTCTTCAGCTTTCTAAACGGGCAGTTCTCTATGGGCTGAAATATGTGCCACCAGAAACTGAATTTGAACCATTTATATTTGAATTTGAATGGCTAAACTTGAATAATTGCATTGAAAAACTGAATTTAAATCACATCATTTAAAATTGTATTGTTTAATTAAAATTGAATTTATTCAAAAACTGAATCTGAATTGTATGATTTGAAATTGAATTTATTTGGAACTGAAGTCCAATAAAATTTGATCCTCACTGAAAATTAAACAGACATCCGGGTAGTTGGAGGGTGAAGGAAGAGCAATCGAGCGCAGATAGATAGATAGCGTTCATTGGCACACAGGACTCCTTTGGGCGGTAATGCTCTTTTTAAGAATGCGAACCGCCAATAAGCTCAAAGAAGAAGAAGAAGAAGGACTCCTTTGGCCAATCAGCACCAATGTTTTGGAGCACACAGTATGTTACCCGCCATGAAACAAAGAAGTGCTTCGGCGACCACTATTCGGCTGGGACAAATACGGTAATGACATTCTTTTTTTACGATATAACCATCTTTTGTTTAACTGTTGTTAATGTTATAGCTAAATCTTTCTCCCGACGTTGCTAATGCTAACACAGTAGTTAGCTCCAATCCCACGTTTTTATGGTAGCCTACTAGCTCTGGTAACAACATTTTTGCCTGGTGTTTATTATTTTTAAGCGTTTGCCTCTTCCTCCGGTGAAAATGTTGTTACAAACGTAGCTAGTGTTAGCCGCCGCCAAGTAGACTGGTCATGTCTTCAGCCTAGTGCCCAACATCAAATTGGCCCAGAGACTCCAAGGTGTTGTCTAGTTTCGCAACAAACAAAATAACGCACACACACCCAGATTAACATGTATAAAACAATGTGATGCATCTCCTGAACACGGCATGTCATTCTAGCAGACAGGGAAGGAGTCAGGAAAGAGGGAGAGATGGCCGACCCAGTGTCCACACAGAAATGACAAGGTTCTTCACTGTATTTGGTTTCTTTGTCAGACTGACTCATCCCTTACATTCATCAATTTAAATTCTCAAACTATAGCTAGTGAAATATGTATTTGCATTGTGTAATGTCAAATTAATAAATTAACATCACAGGTCTTTTCCTGCCCTTTTTGAAGCTAGGGGAAAGCGCCGGCGCGTTCAAGGGCCTTCCAACCACTTTACACCAGTCAAAGAGATAGAAGTTACATTTTATCTCTTACCCAAAATTGTTGAGCGCACTCCCAAAGGCAGTGAAGAAGTTTTCCATCTGCAAGCTGGTTTGGGACGCAGGTCCACGCTGATACCAGAGAACTACACCCGTGATGAGGTGAGGCAACAATTTGTTTTTTTTGTCATATAATGTTTGAATATAGTCCAATATCAAAACCAATGTTCGTTTGTCAATATGATTGTATGATTTACACTACTGGTCAAAAGTTTTAGATTGGTAAGATTTTTTTAATGTTTTTAAAAGAAGTCTCTTCTGCTCACCAAGGCTGCAATTATTTGATAAAAAAAACAAACAAACAAACAAACAAACCAAAAAAAAACTAGTAATATTGTGAAATATTATTACAATTTAAAACAGCGGTTTTCCTATGTGAATATGTGTAGAGAAGTGTAATTTATTCCTGTGATCAAAGCTGAATTTACAGCATCATTACTCCAGTCTCCAGTGTCACATGATCCTACAGAAATTATTATAATATGATGCTCAAGAAGCTTTTGTAACATTAATCACTACCATTCAAAAGTTTGGGGTCAGGGGGAAAAGAAATTAGAAAATACTTTTATTCATCAAGGATGAGTTAAATTGATCAAAAGTTACAGTAAAGACATTTATAATGTTAGAAAAGATTATATTTTAAATGAATGCTGTTCTTTTGAACTTTCTATTTATCATAGAATTTTGGGGGGAAATGGTGCACGACTCTTTTCAACATTGGAAATAATAAGTTATGTTTTTTGAGCATAAAATCAGCATATTAGAATGATTTCTGAAGGATCATGTGACACTGAAAACTGATGTGTAATCAGCAACAGTAATGATGTTGAAAATTCAGCTTTCAAATTACATTTTAAAATATTTTAAAGTAGAAAACAGTCATTTTAAATTGTCATAATGTTTCACAATATTACTGTTTGTCATTTTTTTCATCAAATAAAGCAGCCTTGGTGAGCAGAAGAGACTTAATTTAAAAACATAAAAACTCTTACTGATCTAAAACTTTTGACCGGTAGTGTATATTACTTTTGAAGGTATGTTCAACCCTCAAAGATCTTTATCCAAAACTGGAAAGAGTGTCTGGGGGCTGGCTGATTTACAAAGGAGCAGGCACATAGAACTTACCCATGGCCAATCTAATCTTGGTATAAAATAATTTGAATCAATATCTTGAGTGATGAGTACTGTCCCATTTCAATAGAGTTCAACTATTAAATAACTTTTCTTGTTAAGAGGGTGGGGTTCTAGAAAACTATATATGGTGTCTCCTGGGGACAGTGGATATACTGGGCTAATGCTGAAGACTGCAAGTATAGGCGGAAAGGGTGTCCTATATATTGCTCCGTACAGGAGGAGCTAGACACTCAACCACTGCCACCTGACTCCAGGTCCTTCTCTAGTATGCCAAAGGCAATGTGCCACTCTTGTCACACCAGCTATCCATTGCAAATCCTAGTAGCGCTGCATGTTGAAACATGCAAGCCTTCAGATACTTATCCACAGGAGGTATGTACAGACCCATTGTATGGATAATGTTGGGAGACCATTAAGCTTGAATACAATGTCTTAAGAGAACAAAGAGGAGGCTCAATATTACAGTTGAATTTTGTCATAACTTGTATAGTGGCCAGTTCCACCTGATGTGATGGGGATTTAAGGTAGTTAAGCTATATTTGCAATGAGGCTGTGTCAATTAATGAACAGTTTATCCAAAAACATCTGTTGAATGATGAGTAACAACACGTATATGCAATCATGTCACAATTTCTTTTTCAATTTTGTTATTCCTCCTGACAGCCTATGGAGGAAGATGGGTTTTTTGTGTCCTCAAAGACAGAGGTATGTTGTGATGTGGAGTGTTTATTTTTGAGGTATTATTGTCTCCACCTTTTAATGTTAAACATTTATGTGATTCCAGTTGCAGACCAATCTGTGGCCATAATTTTCCTCCCGATGACCTGGAGGAACATGCAAGCGAGTGTGGAGAGAGGTAACAGAATCTTAGCTCAATTTAGTCAATATAAAAATGTCAAGATTTCGTAGCATTTTAGTGAGATATTTGTGATATCCCTCCAAGCATCTGTCTTCCCACCAATGGATTAATGTATTGACCAGTTGGATTTAATACTTTTAAATTGACTGAGCTGTTACCATAAAGGCTGACTGTGCTGTGTGTGATATACATTTACTTTCAACAGTACACAAGTTTTTTTTTTCCTTTTTTTCTTTGGTTGTCACTGTTGCCATATGATTTTTATTGATCAGTTAGTCCCGACCTGACCAACAAAATTTCTTTCTCTCAAAATTTTAAATTAAAAAGTTTAGTTTAAAAAAGTTTCAATTAAAAAGTTTAAATGAAACTTTAATTTCAACTACTAATTTATACGGTTTTCTTTCAGATGTGTCTTTTTAAGGTTGAGTCGGCCACGGAGTCTACAATGACTGAACTGATTGAGGACATTTTGAGCTGTGGCTATAATGAACCTGTTAATGTTGAAAAGAGGGAAGATATTCTTCGGTATAATTGTTTTTTTCATTATGCTAAGCCTTTGTCAATGATGTTAATATTCATGTTTTGATTTTTTACATTTCACTTCATATTGATATTATTTTTTCTTCATTCTATATTTTAGTGCTGTTGTTCTTCATGCCATACTTCGGCTGCTGCCCCTTCTCTCCCAGCTACGTGAAGGTCTGAAACTTTATGGTTTTGTCGATCTAATGAAACAAAACCTAAACATCTGCCAACCACTCTTTGTCCCCGGGATGGAGGTAAAGGTGAGTTAATAAATGTGGACTTTAGTAGGGATGTACTGATGCCACTTTTACTAACAATAGTGATTCCAATTCCTAAACTCAGCTTATTTCATGTACCAATCATGCCATTTACTTCAACTTTTTTTGTATAGATTTTGTGGGGTCACTGGACAATAATAATGAAGATATTAAAGTTAAAGGTCCACGATGCAGAATTGTCCTAAAAAAACGATGTATAGTATGACCCCCAACTGGTGTGAGGTGGTTTATTTATCTACAGAGAATACTGCCTTCTGCCGGTATTTTCTGGTTTTCTTATTATGTTGCTGTGTTTGGGACATTTCTGTGTCAACCTTTGGGCAGTGGGTGTGTAGCCCACAGCCAGCATGTGTGAGGTTGGGACTCATAGCATAGCAACCAGGTAACGTAATTGTTTTTGTGCAGCTAACTCGCCCACTACTGCTCTCTCTTTCTGGATAAACTCATAACTGTCTTTGTGGCTTGCCAACCTGAGTTCAGCGAGAAGGGCTCCAACAAAGGACAGGTGGAAGTGAGTGTTATGAACCATCTCCAGGACTTCTTGCAGCTGGAAGCATGTAATTGCTCATGTACTTTTCTTCTTGTAAACTCTGTTTACGTAGTTTCTCTGTCTTACACATTTTATGAAATTTTCATGTAGATTATATTATCATTGTAAGTACACTTGCGCAAGATATTAGATTTCCAAATTCTACCTCTGTGTTGGTACAGGTAAACCAAATGTTTAATTTACATAATTGTTTGCTTTCTGTCTCTGAAAAGGTGTACATCCAGAGGTGGGTGGAGACACAGTAGACTATCTCACAGGACAGGGCCACATTCCTGTCTTACCAGAAGAGAAGAGAAACTTCAGAGTCTTTGTGCAGTTCAATCACACCTGTGACATCCAGTATGGTTCACATAGAGTTTGCATGTAGTAATACAATCCACCTACCTGTTAAGCATATGCAAACTTTTACTGAGTTCAAACAAGTGATGATCAGGCATTCCATCAGGTTTAAGTGAGATGTTGCAGTTTCAAATATTCAGTGCTAATTAGATCACTGAATGTTTTTCTTTCATTGTTCAAGTACAATGCATATACATTCAGACAAATAATAATAGATAAGATATTTGTGCAAGTCCAGTTTGTATCCCAAGTTATACTTCAATGTATCAAGTAAGACACTCCCTGTGGCTGTGTCAGTTTGACAGAAGTCCAATAAATACAAAATCTTTGGAAGCAAAATACAACATTGTGGCATTACTTTGAAACTAGTCCACCTTCCACTCACAGTGAAGTGATTGAAACCAATGTCCTCTGTCTTCAATGGACATTCCATTTCTGGCACTGTAACACCTGTGTTGGCAGAGTTATGAGAGAGCCCTGAGCTCTCCCAATTAATATCCTCAATCTGGATTCCCTAAAACCAACATAAAATAGTGTTATCAGTATATAGATTGAAAAATAATTTAAAGGCAGACAATGTCATTGGCATTATCACTCAACTGCCACATCTTCCTCTGGCTCGCGGATGGGGTGCTGCAGCATCCCGAGCTCCCACAGCTGGTTTGGGGTAAGGAAACCCTCTGTCCTGATAGGATGAGCGTTCCATCCAGCAGAAAACTTGGCCATATCAGCTTTGAGTCTTGGGAGGAAGGTGTACTGAGCACAGAAGAGATGGAGATTATCCAAGATGTCAAGGGATCCATCTTCCTCCTGGCTGTGTAATACGTCATAGTAAACGTGAGTAACTCCTGTCCAAACATCCCTCCACAGACGTTCGATTCTACAATTCGTAAATAGAAAAGTTCCCCATGGGTCATTCAAACAATGTACAAGAATAGCCAAAAAGCAATTCAACTGGAGTAAATATCACACTGAAGGGCACACCAACAATAACAAGACATGTCGTGTACCTACTTGGATCTTGGGGTCATTTGATAATCATTTCAAAAGGAATAATTCACCTCTCGTTGTGCACACTTTTTCAATGTATAAAGCTTCCATGTCCTGTGCCTCTCATAGTGAAAATCATCTGGGCAATGCTGACATTTTCAACACCCTGGTCACGTCTTACCCTGCAAATCATCTGATTTTGAAATTTGTATCCATCCAGCTGAATCAAAAAAACTTTACAAAAATACTGGATAATTTCCTCACACAGGTTCATGAAAACTAAATGCAGCATTGAATAAATCCTGATAATTTCATGTTTCACAAACAGCTGTCGACTTTTTAGGTGCAAGAAAATACGTTTCTCCAATCTTCTTGAAACTCTGGATTATGATAGAGGGCCCTGAGAATTAGACCTGAGTGCAAAAATCCTTCCAGAGCTGAGATATTGACATCCCACGTAGCATTTATGCCATTATAAATGTCTCAGCTCTGGGAGGGTCTAGAGCCTCCATTTTTGCACTCAGATCTAAGTCCTATGGCCCTTTATCAGAATCCAGAGTTTCAAGAAGATTGGAGAAACGTATTTTTTCGCCTCAAAAAAAAAAACGACAGGGGTACCACTGTCGTTTATTTTTTTGGGGGGGGGGGGTCGAAATTTTGAGTTTCTCTGATCTTCTTGAAACTCTGGATTCTGATAGAGGGCCCTGAGAATTAGAGCCTGAAATTTTGACCCGAGAAAAAAAAAAACGACAGTGGTACCCCTTTCGTTTTTTTTTTCGGGTCGAAATTTTGAGTTTCAATATCTCAGCTCTAGAACGGTCTAGAGCCTCCATTTTTGCACTCGGGTCTAATTCTCAGGGCCCTCTGTCATAATCCAGAGTTTCAAGAGGATCAGAGAAAGTCAAATTTTGACCTGAAAAAAAAAACGACAGTGGTACCCCTTTCGTTTTTTTTTTTCGGGTCAAAATTTTGAGTTTCGATATCTCAGCTCTGGACGGGTCTAGAACCTCCATTTTTGCACTCAGGTCTAATTCTCAGGGCCCTCTATCATAATCCAGAGTTTCAAGAAGATCAGAGAAAGTCAAAATTTCGACCCCAAAAAAAAAAACGACAGTGGTACCCCTTTCGTTTTTTTTTCGGGTCAAAATTTTGAGTTTCGATATCTCAACTCTGGACGGGTCTAGAACCTCCATTTTTGCACTCAGGTCTAATTCTCAGGCCCTCTATCATAATCCAGAGTTTCAAGAGGATCAGAGAAAGTCAAATTTTGACCCGAAAAAAAAAAACGACAGTGGTACCCCTTTCGTTTTTTTTTTCGGGTCGAAATTTTGAGTTTCGATATCTCAGCTCTGGAAGGGTCTAGAACCTCCATTTTTGCACTCAGGTCTAATTCTCAGGGCCCTCTGTCATAATCCAGAGTTTCAAGAAGATCAGAGAAAGTCAAAATTTTGACCCAAAAAAAAAAACGACAGTGGTACCCCTTTCGTTTTTTTTTCGGGTCGAAATTTTGAGTTTCGATATCTCAGCTCTGGAAGGGTCTAGAACCTCCATTTTTGCACTCAGGTCTAATTCTCAGGGCCCTCTATAATAATCCAGAGTTTCAAGAAGATCCGAGAAACTCAAAATTTTGACCCGAAAAAAAAAACGACAGTGGTACCCCTTTCGTTTTTTTTTCGGGTCAAAATTTTGAGTTTCGATATCTCAGCTCTGGACGGGTCTAGAACCTCCATTTTTGCACTCAGGTCTAATTCTCAGGGCCCTCTATCATAATCCAGAGTTTCAAGAAGATCAGAGAAAGTCAAAATTTCGACCCAAAAAAAAAAAACGACAGTGGTACCCCTTTCGGTTTTTTTTTGGGGTCGAAATTTTGAGTTTCGATATCTCAGCTCTAGAACGGTCTAGAACCTCCATTTTTGCACTCAGGTCTAATTCTCAGGGCCCTCTGTCATAATCCAGAGTTTCAAGAAGATCAGAGAAAGTCAAATTTTGACCCGAAAAAAAAAACGACAGTGGTACCCCTTTCGGTTTTTTTTTCGGGTCAAAATTTTGAGTTTCAATATCTCAGCTCTAGAACGGTCTAGAGCCTCCATTTTTGCACTCAGGTCTAATTCTCAAGGCCCTCTATCATAATCCAGAGTTTCAAGAAGATCAGAGAAAGTCAAAATTTCGACCCCCAAAAAAAACGACAGTGGTACCCCTTTCGTTTTTTTTTCGGGTCGAAATTTTGAGTTTCGATATCTCAGCTCTGGAAGGGTCTAGAACCTCCATTTTTGCACTCAGGTCTAATTCTCAGGGCCCTCTATCATAATCCAGAGTTTCAAGAAGATCAGAGAAAGTCAAAATTTTGACCCAAAAAAAAAACGACAGTGGTACCCCTTTGGTTTTTTTTTCGGGTCGAAATTTTGAGTTTCGATATCTCAGCTCTGGAAGGGTCTAGAACCTCCATTTTTGCACTCAGGTCTAATTCTCAGGGCCCTCTATCATAATCCAGAGTTTCAAGAGGATCAGAGAAAGTGAAATTTTGACCAAAAAAAAACGACAGTGGTACCCCTTTCGTTTTTTTTCGGGTCAAAATTTTGAGTTTCGATATCTCAGCTCTGGACGGGTCTAGAACCTCCATTTTTGCACTCAGGTCTAATTCTCAGGGCCCTCTATCATAATCCAGAGTTTCAAGAAGATCAGAGAAAGTCAAATTTTGACCCCAAAAAAAAAAACGACAGTGGTACCCCTTTCGTTTTTTTTTCGGGTCAAAATTTTGAGTTTCGATATCTCAGCTCTGGAAGGGTCTAGAACCTCCATTTTTGCACTCAGGTCTAATTCTCAGGGCCCTCTATCATAATCCAGAGTTTCAAGAAGATCAGAGAAAGTCAAATTTTGACCCGAAAAAAAAAACGACAGTGGTACCCCTTTCGTTTTTTTTTCGGGCAAATTTTGAGTTTCGATATCTCAGCTCTGACGGTCTAGAACCTCCATTTTTGCACTCAGGTCTAATTCTCAAGGCCCTCTATCATAATCCAGAGTTTCAAGAAGATCAGAGAAAGTCAAATTTTGACCGAAAAAAAAAAACGACAGTGGTACCCCTTTCGTTTTTTTTTCGGGTCGAAATTTTGAGTTTCGAATATCTCAGCTCTGGAAGGGTCTAGAACCTCCATTTTTGCACTCAGGTCTAATTCTCAGGGCCCTCTATCATAATCCAGAGTTTCAGAAGATCAGAGAAAGTCAAATTTTGACCCAAAAAAAAAACGACAGTGGTACCCCTTTCGTTTTTTTTTCGGGTTCAAATTTTGAGTTTCGATATCTCAGCTCTGGAAGGTCTAGAACCTCCATTTTTGCACTCAGGTCTAATTCTCAGGCCCTCTATCATAATCCAGAGTTTCAAGAAGATCAGAGAAAGTCAAAATTTTGACCCGAAAAAAAAAACGACAGTGGTACCCCTTTCGTTTTTTTTTCGGGTCAAAATTTTGAGTTTCGATATCTCAGCTCTGGACGGGTCTAGAACCTCCATTTTTGCACTCAGGTCTAATTCTCAGGGCCCTCTATCATAATCCAGAGTTTCAAGAAGATCAGAGAAAGTCAAAATTTTGACCCGAAAAAAAAAAAACGACAGTGGTACCCCTTTCGTTTTTTTTTTCGGGTCGAAATTTTGAGTTTCGATATCTCAGCTCTAGAACGGTCTAGAACCTCCATTTTTGCACTCAGGTCTAATTCTCAGGGCCCTCTATCATAATCCAGAGTTTCAAGAAGATCAGAGAAAGTCAAATTTTGACCGAAAAAAAAACGACAGTGGTACCCCTTTCGTTTTTTTTTCGGGTCAAAATTTTGAGTTTCAATATCTCAGCTCTAGAACGGTCTAGAGCCTCCATTTTTGCACTCAGGTCTAATTCTCAGGGCCCTCTATCATAATCCAGAGTTTCAAGAAGATCAGAGAAAGTCAAAATTTCGACCCAAAAAAAAAACGACAGTGGTACCCCTTTCGTTTTTTTTTCGGGTCGAAATTTTGAGTTTCGATATCTCAGCTCTGGAAGGGTCTAGAACCTCCATTTTTGCACTCAGGTCTAATTCTCAGGGCCCTCTATCATAATCCAGAGTTTCAAGAAGATCAGAGAAAGTCAAAATTTTGACCCGAAAAAAAAACGACAGTGGTACCCCTTTCGTTTTTTCGGGTCAAAATTTGAGTTTCGATATCTCAGCTCTGGACGGGTCTAGAAGCCTCCATTTTTGCACTCAGGTCTAATTCTCAGGGCCCTCTATCATAATCCAGAGTTTCAAGAAGATCAGAGAAAGTCAAAATTTTGACCCAAAAAAAAACGACAGTGGTACCCCTTTCGTTTTTTTTTCGGGTCGAAATTTTGAGTTTCGATATCTCAGCTCTGGAAGGGTCTAGAACCTCCATTTTTGCACTCAGGTCTAATTCTCAAGGCCCTCTATCATAATCCAGAGTTTCAAGAAGATCAGAGAAAGTCAAAATTTCGACCCCCAAAAAAAACGACAGTGGTACCCCTTTCGTTTTTTTTTCGGGCCGAAATTTTGAGTTTCAATATCTCAGCTCTAGAACGGTCTAGAGCCTCCATTTTTGCACTCAGGTCTAATTCTCAGGGCCCTCTGTCATAATCCAGAGTTTCAAGAGGATCAGAGAAAGTCAAATTTTGACCCGAAAAAAAAAACGACAGTGGTACCCCTTTCGTTTTTTTTCGGGTCAAAATTTTGAGTTTCGATATCTCAGCTCTGGAAGGGTCTAGAGCCTCCATTTTTGCACTCAGGTCTAATTCTCAGGGCCCTCTATCATAATCCAGAGTTTCAAGAAGATCAGAGAAAGTCAAAATTTCGACCCAAAAAAAAAAACGACAGTGGTACCCCTTTCGTTTTTTTTCGGGTCGAAATTTTGAGTTTCAATAT